GTTTCAGTGATCGAGGATGCAAGGTTCGCGCCGCAAACATTTACGGAACGAACAAAATGGCGGGAGCATGTATTACCCGCAGTCCAATTCATTTGACGAACATGTAATGAAAGCGATCAATACCAGACCCTTGGATCCGTTTTTCTGTTCGCGGCATTCAATACTGAACAGCAGTGGGAAGAAGAGGCTCTATCAGGCCATGTGATACTTTTTCGGATATCAACTGTAGCATACTTTCCTAAAGTAGGCTTATGCGATCTTCATGCTGTCTGTGCATCGCCCCCATAAACTTTTGAACGCCTAAACCAATTTTTAAGAAACTTTGTATACGTATCATACCAACTGAGCCCATCTCAGCGGGAACTTCATAAATCCCTCTCATCGGTCTGTATGTGCATCTCTCCTGTCGTTGCTAGGCAAAGGCTCGGTATTTCGGTATCTCTTCTTTCACTGCTAGACAATTGTAGGTAAACACGTTCCAGCGGCAACGTATATACGTAACAATAGAGGATTGTTGGTTGCGTCATTTTCTGTGCGATCCGTGTCTTATGCAAGGATAGTCTGAGAATCTGTGTATTGTCCTATCGTTGCTAGGTGACAACTCGGTAAAAACGTTCCCGCGGTAACAAAGAATTGTTGGAGGCATCGTCTTCTATGCGGTCCGTGTCGTATCGAAGGAAGTACATTAGTTTTTCGCAGAAGTTTTTGTGTTTAATCTTAACGCCTTCGACGTTGCGAACGTTATGTAATTATGTTTCCTCTGCCCTGAACACCGTTGTATTTTCGTAGTCTCGTGCGAAATCTTAAGATCTGGAGCTATTTCTGTCTTATCATTAACAGAAATTACAGTCTGGCTTCAGTCTCCGTTTGGTTCAGTTTATCACAGAAAGGGTTAAAAGCGTTGATATATCAGAAAATTTGTTGGTTCAGATATGAAGCACGTGTGGAAGAAACAAGAAACACGCGTGATATTTTCGTTCTAAACCTCAGCAGGAAGTAATTTCTCGGAGAAGAAAGTGTAATATTAAAAATGATATCACAGAAACACTCCAAGAGAACTACTCTGAATTCCGACAGAACTCCGTTGTACTCCTTCAATTCTCATTCTGATTTCATTCTGTTCTGTACTGCTTATATAACCTCCAAGCGGACCAAGAGAAAACACCACTTCTGTAGTTAAGAATACTTGTGTATTGGTTCGTTACCTAGCAACAGTATCCTTCTCTTGTTGAGAGGGTAACTTATTGAATGTATTTACCGAGATGTTGCCTAGCAACGGGTCTATACGTCACAATATTTTAAGCTGCGTTAAATGGACAGCCGGACCACTAAAGAAGAAAAACACGAAAGATGACGTGTGGAGATATTTAGTTCTCCAGAGAAGTAGAGGACATGTTTTCGCGCCGGTATGGAATGAGACAAACGGTACTTGTTTCCTGTCTGATGCACATCGGTTGCTCTGGGCATGGAACCGATCAACTGTTGCTTCGTCACACTGTATATTCCGCCCGCCCTTGCCTAAAGTCTATGCAACAAACTTTGCAAGTGTACATATATATATATATATGATACTAATTATAACATATACAAGGCCTCTGATAGCCCAGGCGTTGAACAGTAGATTAGGTCTTATTTCGAGTAGCTTGCGCTACAAAGGCAGTTTAATCACCAAAACGGTCGTAAGTTTGACCGCCGCCAAATTTAAGCCTCTTATATTTTCTGGCTGGTTTAGACTTGTCCAATATTGCGAACATTTGCATTTTCACGATTTTGTGTAACTTCTGCTCGCTACCTGCAAAATTTTGTTACCTAATCATAAATGTGGCCGGTCTCTGTAGCCGAGCGGTCTAAGGCATGTACTGTCTTCGCTCGCTTGGAAACCGGGATCGTGGGTTCGAATCCCACTCAGGGCATGGATGTTTGTGTGCGTTTTTCTGTGTCTGTGTACAAGAAGAGGCCTTGTGACGAGCTGATCACCCGCCCAAAGAGTCCTACCGAACGTGTAAGATGTAGAAAAACCGAAGTGAACGGAGAAGTTCATGGAGGTAGGCCTAGGCCCACTGGGGCTGTAGTGCCAAGGGGGGAAAAATCATATATGTGCGGTATTTTGAAAGCCTTATGCAATTCGCGAACCGGTGTGCGCCTTGGGAAATTACCAATGGTGCGCAGAACCTTGTTTTGATGGCATTGAAATTTCAAAATGTGGGCATTTTCAGCAAATTCCCAGGCGGAAGAAGCATAAGCCATTATAGAATTAATGAGTGCTTTGTGGAGAGCCAATTAAATCGTTCACTTTGAATAGAAAATATAATCTAATAAATATTCTGAAGGCTTTGGCTTCGATTTTTTCTAAGTATAACCGCCATGTAACCCCCCTATCGCAGATTACACCGAGATATTTTACTTGATTTTCCTGACGGGGCTTACCAGCCACTTCGAGAATATTCTTGTTCCTACACAGGCGACGTGGTCCTCCGCATGAGGGGGTGCAGCGGGCAGGAGGGGTTGATATTTCGAGAGTAAAGTGTAGGCCAGGTGACCCCGTCTTTCGTGAAGCTCTCGTGAAAACATGTTTATTTTCATACAATCAATATTTGCTTGCATTTTTATTTATTTATAGTTTACTTAGGCCTAACGAAAATGTCTATAGACTATAGCGTAAAGTATGAATGGATAATTGTGCAAGATGAATTGTAAAGGACGTGAAAGTAGCCAGTCGTGGGCTAATTTTAATATGCTATTCCGGCATTTATATGGAGGGACTGAGGAAATACACGAAAAAACTCAGAATAGTCGATGCCCAGCCTATATTCGAAAGAGAACCTCCCCAAATATAAGTTAGAACCGTCACCGTTTGAAAAAAAAATTCGTCAGTAATTTGCCTGAACACACCGAGGAATACTAGCATGGATCACCGGCCTCCAGGTTCACATTTGAACCCAGGATCTCCCAAATACGAAGCAGGAGTATGAACTACTGGGCTGCGACGCTACATTCAGTAGTCTCGTTCACAAGGAAGCTGTTTAGACAAGAGTATTCTGAGAGTAACATTTCTCCATGTTGGTCATTAATTGTACTTGAAGCCAACATATTGCACCCTTAGACTAGCCGTTTTGAAAACAATTCACTGTCTCTCAGCACGTCATGACAATGACAAAGTGAACAGTTAATAAATTTCATGCCTCTGCTAGGGAACATCAATAATCTATGGACACAAGTGTAAATCACAGAGCTCTGGATACAAATTATCATTTCATTGATTCTCTTCGCCCTCCCAGTACGGATGGCAGCCATATTTCACAGTAGAAACAAAAGAACGCGATGTAAAAGAGGGGCTGTTCGAACCAATCATAAAACATGTTACAATACAATAAAAGTGCAATATGCGATTGAGCGCAAGCGCAACTGTGGTGTAAAATCCATAGTACCTACCCCTCAATCTGGTTGCCATGGCTACTGGACACGCGTGCGTGATGAAGAAACAGCAGCAGCTTCCTCGTCTTTCTTCCTGTCGAGACTGAAGATGGAAAATATCGATCCTTGCTCATCCAGGGCCTCTTTCGTGCCTATATTTACCAACCGCTCTGCTCTTATGGTCTCAACAGCCTCCGAGAGCCTCCGCCATGTGCCCGAGAGAGAGAATTAGCAGAAAGTTACACGAAGTAAAACCAGGTTATAAATTGTGTTTGTACTTTATTTAACTACGTTCTCGGTAACTCAGACTTAAACAGTGTCGAATGAAAGGGTGGTTTAGTAAACAGTAAATTTGAAACGATGTGGAATGAAGCGGAAATATCCTAAGTCTACCTACTATTGCCGCATTTTCCTCAAGGAACTGAGGAAAATCACGAAAAAGTGAGGATAATTAGTCTCCCGGTCGAGATTCGAACCGGAAATCTACAGTAAGTCATGTTATAGCCCGAGCGAACGTACTAGGTAGTTTTAAATTGTAATTTTGATCCCACAGTAACAGACTTGGTCACAGTAGCCGCGCGGTCTAAGGCATGAATTGTCTTCGCTCGCTGGCTCGGACGCTGGGATCGTGGGTACTAATCCCACTCACGGCATGGATGTCTGTGTGTGTGCGTGTTCATTCTGTGTTCGTGTTGTCCTGTGTTTAGGTAGCGGCCTTGCGACGGGCTTTTCACTAATTCAAAGAGTCCTACCGTTTGTGTAAAATGATTACGGAACTGAGTAAGAGGCCAGGGCAAGCACAACAGACCACTGTAGGTCACGGTACAAGGGTCGCAGAGGCCTACCCCTCATACAAGAGGCCAGGGCCCTGAAAGGGCTGGAACAGCCATTGAAATAGAAAACAAACTTAACCGAAATTCATTTATGATTTCTGAAATGAAAAAAAAAAACCGGCTGAAAGGGCGTGCCATAGCTCAGGCGGCTCTTCGCCGGCTTTCCACCGCGGCGGCCCGGGTTCGAGCCCAGGTCAGATCATGTGGGATTTGTGGTGAACAATGTGGCACTGCAGAGGGTTTTTCATGAGTACTTGGGCTTCCCCTGCCAATTCTCATTCCAACAACTGCTCCACATTCATCAACATCATCATCTATCATCTGGGGCCGATACAATAGGTCAATAATCATTGGCCAACATACCAAATGGATTCAGTCTAACCTCCACCCAAGAAATAAAAAAAGGTTAAAAACGAGAGACAGCTAATTACGAAGTTTTCTGTAACGTAATATTCTCCATTCTCACTTAGTTGGTCTACCTTAGGTCCAAATATGTGGCTGACAATTTTGGCCAATGCACGGCTTAACCAAACAGCCGTCGATCTAGCTACCTGCACGTTGAATAGATCACAGCCTATTCTGCTGATCAAGAAATTCTTTCTATTTACAGAATCGAAAAGGTTCGTTAGTATATTCAAAATGGCAGCCGGTGGACTCTTTTCCCCGAGTCAGCACGAGCCAATTCACATCTTCCATATCCCCTTTCAGCATTATCCTACTTCACTATACACGTACATCACGTGTAATGCATCATGAAGCGACAAAGATACTTTTATTTATACTTATAGAAGTGTATACACATAAATTACAAGTATTACAATATACAGAACGAAGTAACAAACGATTGGTCTATCATATTAAAGAGAGAACAGGGATAAAATATTAGAACACAGACTCTCTTAGTTGTGATGCCCGTGACTTAGGTCGCTCTTCTTCCGTGGTGCCTGTAAGACAGAAGCAAACATATGACTAACGTGAGACGAGAGTCTTAGATATTGAACTAATTGAAACGTACAGCCCCGCAGCTAAGGGAACTGGGAACTGGTTGAAATACTGGTGGGAAAACTTTGCGAAACGACCCTTTAGGGCAGCGTCTACACGAGCGCACAAAATGCGTCCGATGTAAGGAACGTCGTGACGTCCGTTGTAGAAATAACAAGAGAGGAGAATGCTACGCTTTCTTCTGGCTCCATTGCAGACAAAAAACTACGCACCGCATTCTGCAACTGTGTGGTGTCCTCAGCAACGTCCGTCATAAAGTACGTTCCTTGTAACGGACGTACTTCGTGCGTCCCTGTGGCCCCCGCCTAAGATTGCATAGTATGGACAAGATAATGCACGATTCCTCAACAATTTACCCAATTCCTATTAGCCTATTGCTTAAGGTAGGCTAATGGTCATGTCCCAGTAACACGATTAACGAATTTTGAGTTTTTAATATTAAGGATAAGCCGCGGAATCCAATTTTGGTTGTCAAAATTACTGGGTTGACTTCATCCATTGCCCGGTATTCTAAAAACTAGAAAAGTAGAATACCGGACGATGGACAAAGTCCAACAACCCCCGTAATTCTGAAGTGTTATATACCACCGTCACAACCATTTAGAATCTACGAATTTTGGTGGTTTCCAATGAGCTATCGATATTGTCACGATTTAGAGCCACTCTCGACGGCGGTTTAGATTGGATATTGGATTTACTGACCACTTACAGACCGTAAATACAAAACAAAAAATCTATAACACTATCGTTGATGTCCACGCTTCTCCAGTCACTCCAGCACATGCCACGAGTTTTCAGTCTGCTTTCATTAGGCGTGTCCTGGCAACGGATTTTAACACAGTAACTATAACAGTCTCAATAAATTATGCACTCCAAACATTACTGCAACTATAACACGTACAAAATGCTCTCCACTGCCTGACTTTCAACTGAGCACTGAGCTCACAGAGTCAGAGTCAGAGTCAGAGTCACTTTACAACTGGCAGTTAACCGCCAATCAGTTCGTTGTGGCGTCATGCCCCTTGAGATTCAGGACCAGCAATTTTTCAACTGAACTCTTGTGGTCATAATCCTTACGTACACTTCTCTGACAAAAGGACGGGCCTGTCGTTTACAGTTGTTGCTGGCCCTCGCCAGCGCAGTCATTCTCGGGTCCAAATCCCGTGGGACCCATGACCATATTGTACTGCCTCAGATTTGAGACTTCCCCAACCTGGAGGGCCAGGTCCCCGTATTTATATCCCCCAGGAACAGGGCGACCCGCTTCTACGGAGCGCAGGCTACTCAGCCCACGTAGTCAGAGTTACTTTACGGCTGGAGGCTTACCGCCAATCAAATAGTCTTGGCGACAAGTCCCTTGGGACTCACGACCAGCATTTTTTTCCACTGAACACCTGCTTTATTAATCCTTATGTAACATCCTCTCTGACGGGAGGACAGGTCTGTAATTTACAATTACTACTGGATCTCGCCAGTACAGTCATTCTCAGGCCTGGCTTCCGCGGGACTCTTGACCACATTTTACTGTCTCAAATTCTAGACTCCACCAACCTGGAGGGCCAGGTTCCCGTATTTATGTCCCCCAGGAACAGCATGGCCCAGTTATGCCCCCAGGCACTTGGTTCAATTTTCGTCGCCTCCTACGAGTAGCAAGGCTACGGTGGTGGTATTCGACCCTGCCTCCACACGGGAGTGCTCTACCCTCATTTGGTCTGGCTTTCCTACAAAGCTTCTAGGCTTTTGGCCAAGATAAGAGTCGAAGTCAAAATTCAGTCTTGGTGTCGAACCTATCTGGGGCTAATGACTAGATATTTATTATTGTCTGAGAGTTATAGTCTTGTTTTTGTGGGGCGCCCTCTCTGACGAGAATGATCTGTCTTTTCTATATGCTCCTGGACCTTGCCAACTCAGTCTATCTCGGGGCGAGTCCCTTCTGGGGTCCTCGTTATATAATCCCTTTGCATGGACTGCATTGAAAACACCGTTTTCTACAGTTCTTCTATTGTTGCATGCGTATCCGTTGCAGCGGGAACGTGTTTACCGAAACGTTCCCTAGCAGCAGTCGTCTAATATTGTTTATTTAAAAAACTGTTGCTTAGCAGCGAATATTTCGCTGTTTCGAGGTCGCTACCCAGCAACAGCATACAGATAAGTGACATAATTGCATAATTATTAGTCTAGGATGTCAGCCAGTCCATATAGGAATTTTTTTAAAAAATTAACCCCGTTAGCTTGCCATAAACCAGTAGCAAGTTTAATAAAGATTAGAGATGCTTTCGAAAATGAAGGAAAAACGAATAGTCTTATGGCCCGTTTAAATATTTCTGTTTAGAATCAGTAGGAGCTTTGAGAACAACAGTTTCTTCAGTTCTGCCTTCTCAACTGTCTGCAGGCCAGTGTATTGCCCTCTGTAGGGAGAAAAATGTGCGATCTTTTGTATACACTTAAAGTGGAGGCGTACAGTTCTAACGTCATAAATCAAGCCCTGCTCCTAACCTCTTATACCTTCATCAGCTGGATATACAGGCGTCACGTGACGACTTCGGCACCATCCAGAGGGGCTTCAGAGTTAATCACCCAAGAGCAGTTGTCCACTCAAATGGAACATAAGGCCCTTGTTTGAATTACTAACATTTGTAGGTACAGTAATTCATCGGTCAAAGCATTTAGTTAGGAGGATCTTCGGACGTTCGGTCTGGAACACATCCCTCGAGGGTGTCCAATACTTTAATTACTGACGTGGTGTATTCACTCTCACAAACAAGGCCCTAGCAACCCAATTATGGTGGTACAGTCACTACACCTGATGAGGAGGCGGGCTGCGTCTTTCACATTTCTTTCTGCCAATTACTCATTAATTCTTGGTACTTGGGGCACTCTGCTACAAGCCGGAAGGTCGCGGGTTCGAGTCCCGATTTGGTGGATTTTTTTTTTTCAATTTACCTAACCCTTCCAGCCACTCTATGGCCCTGGTTTCAACTCACACTCTAACGGAAATCAGTACCAGGAATCTTCCTAGGGGAAAAAGAGCGGCCGGCACGTAATTCTGACATCATTACCACCATATGTGAGCCGACTGTCTAGAGAAAAGGTGGGAGCTTAGACATCGCACAACCCTATGGGCCCCCCACGGCCTGTTACAGGGATAGCTTTAACTTTACTCAGTTCTGTTAGAGCAGGCATCTCAAACTCAACTTGTACAGAGGGCCACCTCAGCCCTATAAATAATAGTCCAGGGCCGCACTTCAAAATAGAAATATACATTAGATTTTGATACAAGCAAATTTAATTCTATTTATTATTTAGGAATAATTTCAATACAATTACCTAAAGTCACATATCTTACAGTTTTAAAAAGCAAGAGAATGCTATTTTTGACAAGTATCAAACAACTTTTCAATATGTAGAAAGAGAGATTACACAAGAAATTATGTTAGAAATATCAAAACGTTGAATTTCCTGCTAATTTATGTCTGCGTGAGACTTCTTGTCTTTACAAAAAATATTTCTAGTAACATTTTAATATCAATTAGCTCTAAAAGTTGAGGGGCCTCATGTTTGACACGGCTGTGTTAGAGGCTGAGTCGACCCCAGGGCAATAGTGCGGATTGAGGGATTAAATCAATTGAAAAATAATTTCATCGGGAATCAAACCCGCGATCTTCTGGCTTGTAGCATAGTGCATCTTCCTGGGGGTATACGGCGGCTGACTCGTAAGGCTGACCTCACCGCCATCTGTGAGTCGACTGTCTAGAAATTATGGCAGCCTCGACGTCTCATAGCCCTATGGGCCTTCACGGCCTGTTACAGGGATAGCTTTACGTTTTATTTACTCACTAATTATCCTATCGTCCTATCATTCAATGCTATATAGCGTGAGCAACAGGCAGTGTTGATGAATGAAACACAAATAAATAAAATAAATGTTGTAAGATTTGAGGCTTTGACGGCGTCTGCTTTTACCGGTTCTCACGGTCTCTTCGCTTTGCAGATTTCTTATATTTTTTCTTCTACCCTGAAGATGGAGGCGATACGTTCCTCCGAAACGTCGGTTAACACCACATATACACGGTGCCAAATCCCAGAAGACTGCTTTCTTCAAAATAAATGTTGCAACTACCACGTAGATCTGCATAAAGTATGTGGTCAGTAAAAGGAGGTGGTCCTATGTTCATTGATTCTATGAGGAACATATCTGTAACTGCAATAAGTGAACATCAGGGATGCAAGGTCACAAAGAACGTGCTTCTCTTTTTACATCTGTGTTCTTCAAATTAGAACGTAACTTTCTACATACGTTCAACATTAGTCACACCGCTCAGAATCCAGTTATTTCAAAGCGGTACATTTTAGCAGAGCGAACACATAAGTTACATTAATACGATCAATAAACCCAATTCCCCATTCAAAGCGTTTCGATGGGTTCTGCAACAGCAACGCGATAACAAGCTAATGAAAACCATTTCGCAGTCAGGCGTAATTATTCTGTATGGCTCAAATAAGCATATGAAAGACAACTGGCATGGCTAACAGACTGTAATTTGTCATCTGAATTCACTTTCACAACTTTGCATATTTACCCAGCTACCTAGGGGAAGGGACAAACGATCAATAGCAGAGCCCTCTTTTCATTAAGTAGACTTAACCCTTTACGATACTTGGGCTTGAACGCAGAAGTCTTAACAAGCGCCGACTTGCTTTGAGTAACTCTAAAAGAATTGCATTCATGCAGCCTCATGGAGTTAACCTCAGCCAACATTTCGCACTGCTTACTAGAGCTAAGGGAGCCTGAGCTGGGAACTGTCGGTTTAGGACATATGGCGCTCCGGTTTTTCTACGGTGGTCCGCGGGTTAATTTCGTGATTGCGAAAAAAATAGTAGTGTAGCGTGTAGAATTGTTGCTATGTAACAACCAAGGGATGGGTGGATATAACAGGGCCGT